CAGGGCCGGAGCTTCGGGCCCCGTCCTGCCGCTCCGCTCTCGGCGCTCGCGTTGTTGTTTGTTTTGTTCTAACGAGAGAAATGTGACTCGTTCCTTCTTCCTTCGTGTTTCCCCCGCCAGGAATGAGTACAAGCACTTCCAAAGGATGACCAGCACGTCCCACGTGCAAGGTAACGCTGGCCTTGTTGCTGTTCCGCTCGGTCACATCAGTTCGTGTCCCACCAGCCCTGAAAATGACTGGAAATGTGACTTTTCCCCGCCTCAAAAGTGCTTCTGCAAACAGCCCTCCCCTCCGCTGTCCCCAGCCTCGCAGTGTCTCACCCTCCTCTAGGTATCCCGTGTTGGGTAAAGGCACTGCAGGCGAATCAGGCGTTTCTGGGCTGAAGTGAAAATGATGTTGAAGCCCTGTCTCCCTAGCACAGCAGGGAATTTCACCCACCTGCCTTTGCCTACAAGTTCAGGGGTGGACAAATTAAAAATTGAAAAGTTTATATACGCTGATTAATTAGCAGAGTGGTTTTTTTTCAGGCTGTGTTAGCTTATCCAACTTGTTTGCTGTAGCTCAGCCTTGGCCATTTGTTCCACCCCCCTGACCCTTGTGACAGGAATTTGGCCTGATTTTCTGTGTGCTGAACCACCCCAGCCTGCCAGAAAACCCTGACAACGTGGGTAACTGGAGCAGCAGCACTGCAGCCTTGTGGATCCACTCACACAGAGCAGCATCCCGCCACCCTGGTCCTGTGCAGCAGTGGTTTTTCAGGCCCAGCAAAGTAATGCTGTTAACTCCTTCGATCTGGTGAGGTAAAACCAGTTACTGCAGGGCCAAAACCGTCGTGAAAATCAGCACAAACAAGTAGGGGTAGGAATGCAGAGGATGAAAACAGCTAATTTGTTCTGCCTGGGTACTTAATCGCTGCCCGAAGAGACAAGTCTTGTTTTGCACTGCCCTCATTCTGTTTTCACAGTGACTTTAGTGCTGCTTTGACATTTCCTCAGGCTGTTTTAATTCTCTAACCAATTAGACTAGGCTGATTGCCAACACAAGGTGTGTGGTAGAAGCAGAAAGGAGAGGAGGAGGAGGAGGATCTCCCTCAGCCCTGCAACCAGCTCACTGCTTCTGGTGGAATCAGAGCCACGAGAGACAATAGATTTATCCTCACATTTCTGCCTCTTTTGTGTTTGCAAATGTAGCCACTCTCCTATGGGTTTGGGGTTTTTTTTGTGCTCCTATTAAAACTGCTGACTAGAGAGACTTACTTGTTTGCTAAAAATTCTTGGCAGCCTATCACATGCACTTGTTTTAACTGAGTGACCTGCTCCATGTTCCACAAGGAATGTTTAATCTCATTTTGCAATAGTTTTAAGTGGAAGATTTTACTTTTGTTTTGGACATAGGATTCAACTCATTGCAACCTTAGGTACAAAAGAGGACACGAATAGACATCTGCTTGTCTGCACCTTGCATCTTACCTGGCACAAATAACCCATAATCAGCAGACAATGTTTTAAATGTCATTAAAAAAAAAAACTTTGCTCTCCTGCAGGCAAGTCTTTTTATAAGCTATGACATTACATGCTAGGCAGTGACTTTGTTTTGTAATAAGGCTTCTTAATGCATTGTGGAGCCAAAAATCTTCACAGCAGGTATATATCACCATTGGCTAAAAAAAGTCCCTGATTTTTGAAGTGGGAAGGATGCAATGAAACAGCATCACCTGATCTTTTATTCTGCCTGCATCCCTGCACTGACCACTGTAAATTGCTGTAAATTAGCTATTGGTCTACAAAAATCTGTGTTCTGACCCTGTAGGTATCTCAGTGTGACTGGGACAAGAGTTCACATGTAAGAAGAGTACACAAGTAAGAATACACATGTATTTTTCAGATTGTGTGTGTTTCCTTCAGCAGTTGATGCTCAGGGTCTGCACTGAAATGTCTAAACTGACACAGTGTGTCTCTCAGAAATGCTCATGAAACTTACCTGCAGGAGAAGGGTCTTTAGGCACTGCTAATAAAGAGCTGCAGCATCTGTTCTCTGGTGGGATCTGGCAGATCCAGCCTTTCTCAGATCTAGAAGCAGGGTGTATTCCTGTGAACAAATACTATTTTCTTTTCTCTGGAACTCCTCCTGCAGAGTAGCTGTAAAAAATTTCCTTCTGCCTTGGCTCAACCTCTGTGTTTATTTCTCTGACATCTCCCTTCGCTCATCAAGAAAAACCCTCTAGCAGGGCATTTATAAAAGATAATCAGATTATGAATGCTAGGATTTGGTCAGAAATTATACAGGTGAATTTTAGAATATGATTGAACACCTTGTTGCACTTCTGCTTCAGACTTAGTTTGGCTGGTTCTTTTAAATGTTAACCTTTTACCTGCCTTTTTTTTTTTTTTTAAATAATAGTCAAAACTGGCAATTATTCCTGATCAAGTAACTTGCGTTATGGAACATTAGTTATGGAACATTCAAAGCAAAGTTGATTAATGTATGCTGCTCAGATTTATACACAGAACTATGGTGTTTTTTTCACATTAAGAGAACTCCTTTGAGGATCTGAGTTGCTCTTACACACCAAGATTAATTTGGCCTTCTAACTACAGAGCCCATGTCCAAAGGCATTTGAGGGCAGTGACATGTCTTTTGTGCTTTTCTTTCAATTATGAGTTTGTAGGTGTGCATGAGACTACTTTGGTGTCGATTCCCTGCCAAGGCTTTGAGGCCACAAATGTGGTGTTCTGTGCATGTGCCTAATCTGCCTGAGCTTGTACTTTTGTCAACTGCTGAAATGGAGTTTGGAAGGAGGGAAAGCCCAGCAGGTGTCACTGAACAACCAGAACAAATGGGAAGAGAGGAAAAAGTACCTTCTAAATAAGTGTTTTCTCTCTTACTCAGGTAAACAGAATGCACTGATAATGGGTAAAAAAACCTGGTTCTCCATTCCTGAGAAGAATCGTCCTTTAAAAGACAGAATTAATATAGTTCTCAGCAGGGAGCTCAGGTATGTATGATTAGTAATAGGCCTGTAAAACAAATTTAAAAGTCTGCACCTAAAAATATGATACTTCTGGTTAGGAAGTATTTCTGCTCTTGGTTCTGAGTGATATCACTTCTTCACCTTTTATTTTTTTTTAAATTCTTATTATTTTTTGTAGTTAATTCCCAAGATAATTGTCATTACTTTGCATAATAAATACTAGTCCTAGCTCTACACACAAATCATCTGACAACTGGCAGTAGTCTTTCTGACTCATGTATTTAGCTGCATTTCTCTATTTCCTGGTTAGATTGGTGCCTCTTATTCCCTTTTTTTTTAAGTTTATTTTTATTAACACTTAAGGAAGAAGAACTGTCCTTTTTCAGAGCTCTCTTCTTGAATGCATCACCCAGAGTCAGCCAAATATTCTTAAAGAAATCTGTCTTTACAAGGTTTTATTGCTTTGGAGGATGTTGGTGGGTTTGGGCTACATGTGGTGGGGGGAGAAGAATAGATGCTTTTTTACTAGTTTTATTGCACAAAACATTCATGTTCTAGACTATAAGCAGAAATATATATTTAGTTTTATAGATATCTACATTTCTCAGTTACACTTCTTAAAAAATTTGATGCAACATTTCTGATCTGTAATTTATAATGCCTCGTAAGTCAATGTTACTATTAAATTGTGATTTATTAAACAATCTTGCAGTCAGAGAATTCTAACATTTTAGCAATAATAGGCATTTCAAAATAATTAACTAATGTGAAGCATTTAATCATCTGTGAATTCAGCAAAACACACTGTGTGTCTAGATGGTGCTGATTATCCTGATGAATGTCCCTTTATTTATTTAGTAATAAAACTTTGCTTTTTCTAGGGAAACCCCAAAAGGAGCACATTATCTTTCCAAAAGTCTGGATGATGCTTTAGCTCTTCTGGATTCACCAGCGTTACAAAGTAAAGTAGACATGGTTTGGATCGTTGGAGGCACTTCAGTTTACAAGGTACATTTAGACTACTCCTAACTTCTCATTTTCTGCAGTGGGATGAGGGTGGCTCCATTTTCAATTACTTTGGCTTTAGGAAGTGCCTTTCCATCTTGTGACCCAGCACACTCCAGTGATTCCATTCCAATAGAAGAAGTCTTGGGAAAGTAAAATTTCAACTCACAAGTTTAAAATATCTGTCCAAGTAACCAAATGCTGCTCTTGCCAATGGTCCAGTGTCATACGTGCATTGCACTTTGGAGAGCAACAGTACCTAAATTGTTGGGGTTTAACACCAAGACCTTATTTTACTGAGGCAGTAGACTGACTCTGCAGAGGATGTAGGGA